CTGCACTAGTATCGCAGAGGTCAGTGGTTCGAATCCCGTACAGGCCTGAATTTTTTTCAGGTCTGATTTTCACTATTGCTTAAATAGTGCTTTACTGCGAAGGATCGTGCACATATACGTTTCATAACCGCAGTTCATATATATGTATTTCATATGTTTGTTGTTTGATTTATCATCTACGGGTTTATGTCGAATTAATTTGATGGCCTGCTCCCAGTTGGCTTGTTAGCTCAATTGGTAGAGCACTGCACTAGTATCGCAGAGGTCAGTGGTTCGAATCCCGTACAGGCCTGAATTTTTTTCAGGTCTGATTTTCACTATTGCTTAAATAGTGCTTTACTGCGAAGGATCGTGCACATATGAGATACTATAATATTAATAATTTATACTACATTAGACTTGAGCAAACAGCCACCTAGGATATACAGCCTATCTAAGGTATAGAAAGCTGAGATACCTTTTAGACTCATTGTGTCATACATAAACACCTTTGGTTACAATCTGTAGACTTAATTAGTTGATATCCTGTCTCCACTGACAGGTAAATCAAATTACATGGATACCAACTCCACTCTCTGTATCTACTATAAACCACAACGAAATACAAGACAAAGAAATCAGCTTTCCTTTAAAATAAAAATGCTGCTTGCTGGTAGAAGGTGCTGTGCAGATGGCTTAACTCAAACTAGAGATTGATTGCAGTTTTGCTGACTGTGCAAATCTAACACCTGAACAAAATGCAGAACTCTCATACTTTTGTCCTAAAATCTGTACATTTGCAACAGATCAATTCATAAACAACTGGACAGAGCAGTCATAAGGAGTCCTGTCTCTGCAGTTATAGCTTGTAACCAGCTGTTCATGAAAGAGTTTGAGAAACAAGTAATAACGACAGCACCTCACAAACCTTAGATCTGAAAGTGATATGTATATTACTTGGAACAATGAGGGAACAACATCTAGAAGTTGGAATAATGATGTCATAACACACCAATAACAACAAATCAAGGTGCTATAAACACTTAAACTTTTGACCTTGTTGCCTAACAAAGAGTAGCATTATAGCACATTATAGCAGTAGAAGTGTCACAATCAATACAATCAATTAGCCTGACTCTTATGTCGAGAGGCAACTGATTAAAAGTTCATTAAACTACAAAACTATGATGAACAACATTTTCTTTCACACTATAAAAGTTGAGAACATCACATAGAACTCAACCATTTGTTGCAGAGAATTAGTAAAATTAATGTTCATAGCCAGAATCAGACCTCACCTTTCACTGTACATGTGTGGTTTAAAATATATATAAACAATAGTCTTAATTTGGTACAAAAATATGCAAGGATATTTGTCCGCAGACATTAACCGTTCCAAGATGCAAATAGTTTTCTAAAAGCAAAGCTTGAGGAAAACTGTGAGCTTCAAGGAACAATTAATGTCCAAACCCAAACACAATGGCATATTTAGAGGCTATTGTGCTTAAGAAAACCTGTTTTCTTTTCAGTGTTCTCTGGTACTACTTTGAAAAATATTTCCCTTTTTCTGTAACCATAAAATGCTCTCTCTTCTTGAATTAAATTGTAAATGAAGATTCACCGTGGTACACATAAGGTTCCAAATGAGGAGTATTGGAGTGGTATCCTCCGATATCCCCCAGTTGAAGCCTGGGGATAGTCAGATGATTAAAGTACTTGATGAACCACAAATTTCTATTGATTGCGGTCTTAAATTGGAGGGAATAATGCAGGAAATAGAAGCCGATATTTTAGAAATTTTTAGGGGTAGTTTGCACCCCTAGACAACCCCAGAGGTTCGGCGCTCGTTGGCGCGCCTTTGCTTCTTCCAAACCTCTCTTTTAAATTCAAATGGGCTTAAACCTCTGTATACATTCCATCAGGGGAAAACCTATCTAGCTCAAAATCCCAAACCTTTCATCATATCAACACAAGCAGAACTTACGGCGAGGTAAGTGCAGTTTTTGTCGTCGCTGTCCCCTAAAACAGCTCTTGCTTCCTCCTCTAGCTCGTTATCTTCATCCAGAACGTCCACCATCGACACAACTTGATCTTCAAAAACTCCAGCTTCCATTTTTACCAATCTAGCTTTCTCTTCACAAATACACGAAACCGTCCACGAAACCACTAATCTAACAAAATGGCGGGAATATTCGATTTGTTTTCGTCACATGATACTACGTCACATTCGTCACATGTTCTAACGATGAACCAACCTCTCTCAGACGATTACGACGGTGGACTCGAGATTTGTATGGGTAATCGCATGGGGCCGAGTAAAATTAAGGATTAATATCACTTGTGTTTTCAGAAAACACAAGTGATATTTATCCTTAATTTTACGAGGACCCATTGCGATTACTTGTTAATGAAACTGAGGGGAAAATTACCGAATTTCTGAATGCGCTCTTGAGAAATCAGTTATAGTAAGCCATATAAGAATCAATGGCCACTAACGCACGATCACGAATGAGCTGAATGAAATTTTATTTTTGCACAAAGATACCAGGACTTTGGATACGTTTTTGATTTTAGATATCTCTCCAGTGATGCCTGCATTACCTTCAGGCAGTCGGGCTCATATTCATCCCCGTTTTCTTTTCGTAACTCGGCATAAAACTGCGCCAGTGTTCGGGCGACGACATCGCTCTCGTACTCTTCTAAATTTGCTTGGAAGTTTCTTTCATTCACCCACTTTTAAAAACGTTCTTCCAGTACTCCGTGCTTTTCCTCGTGTTTTCGTTTTCACTCGTCTTTTAATTCTTCGATATATTCCTCATCAACTATCTCGAAACGAGACGCCATTGTTACAGAAAATCTTCAGCAACAACTTTTCGATAGCATAAGCTGTTGCTAGGCACCCTGAGTACCAATCATGAGCTAGTAGTTTTGCCGTCTTCTCATGCAAAATTAAAAAAAAAAAAAAAAAAAAAAAAAAATACCCTCTTCATTGACCAATCAGCATTCAGTAATTTTGCCCTCTGTTTTATTACTGATAGTAACAACAAGGGAATGAGGAATATCGCTATAAGCCGTTACCAACCACTGCCTTAGTTTATTTTTCAATGAAATACATGTAAACCGTTTTGAAGATTTCCATTCTCTTTCGGGTTGAAGCCGTCACTTACACAATGTTTAATTGCCTTACATGAACATCTGTTCAAAGTTCTTTTGAATTAATTGCACAGAGAAAATAGTTAAATTTCTAGCATATGTACAGCTTAAAATAAAAGGTGGTACAGTAGAGACGATTTCATTGTCAGAGAAAATGAATTTTGAGAAGGTTCATCCGCAACACTTGTATTCAGTGGAGAAAGCGCAGACAGTTTGCAATTTAACCATTTTGTTCGCCATGTCTAATTGCATTCATAGTATTTTATGAGAGATAAGATTCAACATTTTAACCCTGACACTAAAAAACATGATGCGCCTGTTATTAAATGGCGGATTCTGGACTGAGAAAGGAAACTTTTTTTCTACTTAGACAAGTAATAGTTTGAATTAATTTCATTACCAGATAAGAGTCGTGATTTTTAATGGCCATATCAGATACCATCTCTGTTATTCGTCATGGAGGCTTGTTGAGGCCGCTGGCCAGGTTATATGTTTTAGTTAAGTTTTGCTTCGATCTAATTGATCAATGAATGCTTCACTGAACTGTGTTCACCTTGGCAAGTGAGGGAAATCATCAAAACCCAGCTGGAGGCAGCTGAATAAAAGCTCGTGAACATTTTTAACAAGAACTTATCGCCGATGTTGTCAACAAGAGATGTTCAAGCTGTTCCCAACAAAGAATTGATTTTTCCTCTATTTCTAAATCATTCTATTAAACGATTTTAGTCACATTTGACACATCAAAAATTTAATTTCCCCCTGAGGCAAAGAAGCAAAAGAGTTATCGGTAAATTGCTTTTTCAGGATAAACCTGGGAATTGTTTATGTTGCTTTGTTCAGCCAGGTCTTCGGTCAAAAATTTGGAAATTACCGATGGGTCTACTTTTTTTTCGGCTTATCTGTTTGTGAATCTTAGTTTTATTGATCTCTCTCAATGTTCAGCAGTGAGCTCTCGATTTGTTAATTACTACTCAAAAAGGTTAAGTAAGCGACTTGTGAGGTATTGCAAGAGAAACGCGAGTAAGTTCTCCCTCTCTTTGATATCCAGTATTTGAATAAGTTTCAAAATCTGTCGATGCAACATTTGTTAAACAGAAGTAATAACTGAATGGCTAATTTCTCCAAGTTCAGGTGGAGTAGAGCTAGAGATATCATTATTTAAGAGTCCTTCGCATTTTGATATTTTCTTATAATTTTTTTTTACGAATAAGTAGCTAAAATCATCCAAACGGTTTATCGAAAAAAGTGCAAGTATCACAATCTTTGCAGCAAGGTTCAAAAAATCTTATTCGTTAACGTGTTTGCCAATAGCTTTCTTTGAAAGCGGGCAGGTGCTTCTTGAATACATAATCATTACTATCTTAAGAAATGTTTCCAAAAGTTTCTTCTTAATGCTAAACCACCTGTGATTACAAATAGCAAAATGTCTTCATCTGTGGAGATTCGAATCAGACTAAGAGAAAACGTAAGTTTTTGCGTAACGGTAGTAATCTGGGAAGTCACCTTGCTGGTCACTTGCCAAAGGTAAGCACAAACTCCGTTCGGGTAAAGCTACAGAATACAGGGCCTCCTATTTACCTCTCCTTTACTTACTATACATCCTTTTGTGATCTGCCTCGTCCTCCAAAGCATGCTGACAAGGTGGACCTCAATGACCCTGTATTCTATAGTTGCTCCCCTTTAGGCAAGTTTGATGTGGTAGGGACGCCGGAAATTGTGAATGGCGAAAGTTTAGTGAGCAAATCAGTATGGCAACATCCGTGTATCAGTCCCATTACTCAAAGTGCGCTAACGATTTAAATCAAAAAGCGTCGTAGTTTCAAGACCCACTGACTAATCTCATGCCTTTCTTTGAGTATTCCAAATTTCTAGTAAAAACTTGAAGGAAACATCTATAGTTGCCTTTTATTAAACAGAAAAACCTTTATAAGGTCACTGTTATGGTATAATTATTTCTATCGCATTTTGTTTGAAATGCACTGCTTTTGAGTCAAAACCAACTTGAATTCCACAGATTTAACCCTGGCAATTTGTTTGTGCTCTATTGACATATTGAAATGCACAAAAGTGTATTGTCACTTCAGAACTCCCTTCTGTAATGAATCACAGCCTGTGAAGCTGCAGACGCAATTTCGGCAGATTACACAGGTAGTGCATACGTCAAAACGTGGTTATGATTATCAACCCCTGGCCCAATCGAATTTGTCCTAAGTCGATGTATTTACTCAATATTTTATGTTGTGACGACTGCAAGCTTACTAATTTCAAAGAATCCCTCACATATCAGGCAAATATACAGCTTTTAATTAAGATTTAGAAAACTGACAATGTTTTGAATTAAATGGAGGCTTTTTCATACATACATAATGAAAGTTCCTCTGTAACGGCTCATTAAAAAAAGGCGTCATTGTTAAATCAAACCCATTTCCTTCCTATACATCACTTTTGGCGCCTAACTGAGATATAAGCGCGAGGATCACTTTGTTTTTAATTTGACGGTTAAGCATTCTTGCTACTGATTGGGATGTCTCCAAGCACGTTCCATGTCTCATGCACAAACGCATTAGCTCCTACGTGTTGCCTTAATTGTTTCCAAAAAATTTGATTGGGGTTCCGAGTTATATTTCACAGCAAATATATGTGACAGCTGCTATCGCTGGTTTTTGGCTCTGATGGACAGAGAAGAATAACAGACTATCTGCCGGGAAAACTAAGAGTGCATCTCACAGCTACAGGTATAACTAGAAATTTAAAAAAAACTAAAGAAAGAAAGTGAAAAGTACAAAACGTTTTGAGCAACTTTAATCTTTCATGTACTGAAATACAATTCCCATCTCATGGTTTACTGAAACACTTTCAATTCGCAATACTTTTCCTGTTATTTCATTTATCGTTGGCCTTGTACGAACCATCTTTATTCAACTGACTCGACTTATTCTCAGTTAACAATCATCGCTGTGTTATGGAAGAAAAAATAGTTTTCGCCATTTTTCTTTGAAACGTTATCTGGAAAATTATTTTCGTGCAAATCTGAACATCTTTTAATGCGGTTCTAAGCTAATGCAAATAAAATATCTATCTCTTCTTTATTTCCGCTTAATGTACGCTGACAGCTCAGAGGGAAACATGGTCGTGATTTTTAGAATGAAAGCACCCATATTTGATGTTGGTCTAAATTTCAGTTCTAACATGTTATGTGTTATTCTCAAAGGTGGAGTTCAAAAATCTCTTTAAGATTTATCCACTGATACCTAACATCTAGTTTTGAGTCAGGAGTGGTATTTTTCAATGTATTTCTAATCTGAGTTCCAACTACCTTTTAAATTAAAGTATAAAATGGGTGATTTTTAAATCCCGCCTGACACTCCTCGCAGGTTTAATCTTAGAAAGCAACTCTTCTGTCGTGCATTTAATATAAAAAGAAAGAGAACAGTTCGACAGCTCGAGGCGACCTCGTTGTTTTTCAAAAATTACAGACCGACATGGTGAGATTATGAAGGCGAGAATATTTGTCTTTCTTAAAACATTTTCAATCATATTTTTTCTTAGGACAAAAGGCTTTCCAGGGTCCTCTGTGATTCTTCAGTTTAATATTTGTTTAAGACAGTTGTTAGAATGGACATGGATGTTGGTTCAATGCAATTCTTGTACTCAAGAGGTTATAGTTGAATTCAATCTATCAGCTTCTTAAGTCATACTAGCCAACGCGGACGTAATTCTCTGTTTGTCACAAACCTGTCTTCGCCTTAAAGTCAATATCAGATTGTATTTTTAGTTTCGTATTTAAAAACCGGAACATGGAAATTCTTGGGCTGTTTCAAACAAGACCGGGATCATTGATATCATGCAGTTTAACATCGTTGTTCATCTGACGTAACAGTTTTCTTTTAAAAATTTACAAGAAATGGCTGGAGGTAAATTCTAAACATTACAACGAAACACCTCATGACGTTACTTGGTGCAATGAAAAAATTGGGTCAGCTCCAATATTGATGCTTCACTCGTTTACTCATATTTTAACCCGAATAAATAAGTGCATGTAAATTGCCCCACAAATGATGTGCATGAATTTTAAGTCTAAAATTTCTGTGAATGACAAACAGATTTTAACAAACAACGCACTAGGTGTAAAGTTTAGTAGCTCTTATTTTCACAGATGTAGATGATATGGTTTTAGGGGCTAGCGTGAGATTTTGAAGGTAAACGCACATCGCGAAAATTGGGAGCGCCGAAGGCGCCCCAAACTAGGGGGGTCTGGGGGCTTGCTCCCCCAGAAATTTTTTAAATTTAGGGTCTCAGAAATGCGGTGGAAAACGCAGTAGTTAGTTGTTTATTTTGGTTTCCTAAAATAACTAGAGAGTTAACAAGTCAGGGGAGCCAAATAACGTTTCTAGTCATTTATGGATTAATGAAAAGGTACTGGAAAAACAAACACACACACCAGTATAATTCCAAACTTAAATATCGGTCCTATTTTATGGTAACTGGGAAAAATTCTGTACGCATGGGCGTACGTGCTTATGTGGACGCTACGCCCCAGGGTGTCGTTTTCAGTTGTTGCGTTGAATTTTAAACAAGTAACATGCAGGTTTTTTTTAATTTAGCCTGTTTCACTTAGACATTGTTGAGGAATTGAGACCTAGTGAGTATAATAAACAACCAAAGATAGACTGCTGTGTTTAGTTCAAAACTAGACGCATATCTCTTTTAACTCGGGCTTTCAATATATCGGCGCACATCTGACATGCCATCAGAGACAGCGCGTCACCCAAGCCGAAAATAGACTGGACACTGTAAGGTACTTGGAAGGGGAAGTCTGGTTTCGATAAACAAGAGCGCCTGTCGTCTAGTGCGGCTTCGCAAGGTGAACATCAGTGCTAAACGAACACTAACTATTTTGAA